AAAAAAATATGTTAGGATATATTCAATTGATATTCAAACAAACAGTTTTATTACAATCATCCTGAAAAGTTTATTTTATTTTACCTAACAATAATAAGCGATTATAATACTATAATTGTCAACGGGCGCCAGATATAGGATTTTTCAAGTAATCCCGGCGATCTGCATAATTTACATTGAAGGCTTTCTTTAAAAAAAATATGTTTTAGAAAATATTCAATTGATATTTTAAACAAACAGTTTTATTATAGTTATCCCTAAACACCATTCAAAATGTTTATATCGATAGATTGGTTATTTTATTAATTTTATTAATTTCAATATAAGTAATATTTATCATGTCATGTTTTAATTATTGAAGGTAATTTCGAATCAATGTAAAGCTAGCTATAGTTAAATAAATAAATATTTATTACTATAAATAATTTATATATGAAATGAATTATTAACATAAATCTCAACCTACAAAAGATAAGTTCATAAAAAAATACTAGAATGATTTCAAATTTATTTTCAATTTCTTTACTGTAGATTTCGAGGCCAAAACTGCAAACTGAGATCATTACCAAAAAACTGTAGATCTACAGTTAAAACTTTAGACATGACAACACTGTATAAGAGTTATATTCCTAGATAAAGAGTTGGTTGTTGATATCATACATTCGAACCTAATAATTATAAGTTTAAGAAAGAACCCCTAGAGTACTCTATTGCTTTTCAATTGTAATATTCGACAACGAACGAATATGCATTTCGTTGAAAAGTAACTGGGCGCCATGTTTTTAACTCATTGACAAACCAGTTGATTTTTCAACTAGTTGTTTCGTTGCGTCGAAACGGTTGATTCGTTAACGAAGGAGAAACGGTTGAAAAAAACCGTTCGTTGATTCAACGCCCATCACTACTTAATTGTAGCAAGAAATGGTTAAGGTTAGAAATTTCATATTTTATTTGCATTTTGTACTAAATCATAGACAGCTTTGGTAATAAATCGACCATTAATATAAAATTAAAAAAGTTATTTAGAAAAATCTTAATCTGTGAGTTAATACAATGAAACCAACAATTGTTGCTGATGAAATGTTTCCAGAAGGTGCGGGTCCTTACATGGACTTGGAAGAGGTTAATTCTATAATTTTATTTAAATAAGAGTAATAACAATAATGAACAATACTTAGAAAACTATAATTTTACTTGATGATACCTGATACGTTTTACAATGTTAAATATTTAATTATTTTACATTGAACAAGAAGCTTACAGAGAGGCAGATATTGATTTGTATTATTTTATGAAAAAAATGTATGAAAAAATATATTTAGATGTAAATGTTTCTTAATCATGATATGTAGGCGATTATCGCTTTTTCATAATTAAATCTTTTTTTTTAAATAATATAAAATAAAATAATATAAAAGTAATAGTAATCGCAATGTTATTTTAAGTAGGCAGGTGGATCAAGTGGACTGTTAATGGATCTTGCAGCAAATGAGAAGGCTGTTCATGCAGATTTTTTCAATGGTAATATAATTTATACATTTATTTAAAAATAATATATCTATATATAGTAATTAATTTATTTTGTTTGCAGATTTTGATGATCTATTTGATGATGAAAATTTGAACTAATTTAATTGTGATTGGTACAAGTAAAATAAGTTACAATGAGTGTTTGTGGTATCAACAAATAACATTTATTTTAGTTACAAAACTTACAAAGTTATATAAATTATTCACATTAAATATTTATTATTGCAATAAAATCTGTAATAAAAATTATCATTTCTATAATTGAATTTATGCAGTATTGCTTTTTACTTGTGCAATTTCCATTTTAAACTTTCCAATAGTTTCTTTAGCTAATTTCAATTTATCCTTGAGTTGAGCTATATCTTTCTTCACATTTGATTTTGCTTCTATTATAGTTTGCAAGGTTTTCTTTTTTTTCTCCTCAACTTGAAAATGAAAAATAATCAATATTAGTTTACAGGATTATATAATTTGATTAGCCTTATGTTAAGGAAAAAACATTTTTTTTCTTTTTAAAATAATAAATCAAGAATTGTTCTTTAGACCAATTAATAAATAATAATTTATGACATATTAAGAGTAGCAATGACAATTATTTAAACTTATTACATATTAAACAAGCAAATCTTTCAATATATAATTATTACAAAATTACGAAGAAAATTTTTATGGAGCTTCAACATCCTTAAGTTAAATTATTGCATTCAGCAAATTACACCGTTTATAAGTATTTTAATGTAATGAATAAATGCAATAATAATGAATAAATTTACAAATTTTAGTCCAATTAAAATAAGTTTGCAAATACATATATAAAACATCAAGCAAAGAAATGAACTGAATTGTAGAGAACTCATACAATTAGTACGAAACCACAAAGCATTTTGATTAAGAAAACATCAACTTACAATCAGTATCATGTTTTATAACACTTTTGCTTTCAGGTTTAGTGGCAGCTAATAAAAGTTGTTGCATCAATTGAGTTGGATCTTGAAACAAAATCTCATCATATGATTCAGATACCAAACCTTGTTGAGGTGTGACAAGTGCCAAATTTGAACCAGAATCAGGAATGGTAGATGTAAACAATTTTAAAATATGATATATAGTAAGCTACAATATACAATACCATTTAAAATATCAAAAAAATAATTTGTCATGTGATAGTTTTATTATCTTACTGGCCGCTCTGTAGGATCATGGAAATATACTTTAATAACGATTTCAAATTCTCCCCAACCGGTTTCTGTAACTTCATATGGAGGTTTTGTTAATATTCTGTTTGGATTTGCATAACTTTCATGCAATTTAAAATGTACTTTTTTAATATATGTTGAAGTATCTTCATCATTAAATGGTTTTAAATAAACAGTCCATTGATGAGTGTGGCCATCTTCCTCACGTTTCTTACCAAAGTACTTTGCTATATTACCATACACAATGGGTTTGATTATTATTACTCCCTGAAAGTTTAGTAAATTTAGTATTTAAATTTTATATCAAGTTAATTTAGTAAAGCTTTATATCAAGTTAATGTGTAAGAATACCTTCATTCGACCTCCAGAGTCTGGTCCAAAATCAGTCAATGAACTCATAATGTTAATGACAATTCTATATTTTAATTTGATATCAAGAAGATGAATTGTTACAAGTAAAAATAGTTACAGTATCATTTTATTCCAAATCAGTGTTATTGGTAGACAAAATAAAAATACAACAATAAATTTCCTTATATTATCATATATATCGAATTTTCTAATATATTTTTCTATTGTATTTTATATATTGTATATAGGTTAGAAACCATTCTATCAACTTAACCAAACTATGACCACAACAAACAAATAACAACATAGGAGTTTGAAGCGAGATCAGGCATATAGAATAAAATTGGTAAAGTTACTTAAACAAATCCACAGATAAGAAAAATAAACATAAACATGAAATATTCATAGATATAAGAAGAGTACAAATAGTTTGGGATCCGTACGGCGAATCTGTTCGCAATGTGCGCAGATAATATACTCTTTCATAAATAAAAGAAGAGTATATGTACTCTTCTTTTATCTATGGTGCGCAGACTAATTTATTGCAAGCAACAGCAAGCAGGATTCGCCGTGCGCGTTCGTGCAGTGGAGCGAGCCATTAAATTATCAAAGTTAATGATCTATATTTAAATCTATGGAGCAACTTTTGGTTAGAAAATAGGTTTTGATCGAATGACGTTTAGGTTAAAAATATACAGTTTATTGACAACACAAAAGTTTTGAATTGAATTCATCTTTGCATTAATTCTTAATATAATATTATGAGAAATTATTGAGTATAATAGTGAAATAAGAAATTTACCTTCAAATGTCATACACAAATATAAATATTTATGATCGGAGATGAGGAGATTTTTTTATGATATAAATACAAGAACAAATGATCACATAATTTATTTTTCAATAAAATAATTTTTATTATAATGCACACAATGTTCCCAAAGAAACAAACGGGCAAAACATGATATATTTTAGTGTACATTATTTTGTAATATTAGTGTTGCTATGTTATAATAGTGCTTGTGATAGTTTGAAAAATTGCAATTCAACCAATGTAGATCAATCATACATAGAAGTTAAATATAGTTCAAAAATTGTTCAAAATGAGTACATTGTTGTTTTTAGTGGTTATTATAAAAGTGCTTCTCGTGCTAAATACATAAATGCTGCTTTAAGTTCCACTAATGTATGATTCCAATGACAAAAATCAAATTATCTTTTCTTGCATATAATTTTTTAAATTCATTTACAGGTGAAAGACTGGTTAATTATAGAACGTAACAATGCTGCTAGTGATTATCCAAGCGATTTTGATGTAGTTAAAATAAATGAAACTTCTTTACTGGATGGTCTTAAAGCTTTAAATAAACATCCATCAATTAAACGAGTTACATCACAACATATGGTGTATCGGACTCTTAAATTAGTTACACAAAAAGAAAATGGGAAAAAGAACATAATTGAGTTAAATGAGCGCAGTGAAAATGATTTGTTTAATATATCTAAAAAATCGCCACAAAATGAAACACAAGAACAAGAAAATGAATTCAATAGTGTGAATGAAGATGATTGTTATGGTGATAATTGTCATTATAATATTTGGAGAAGCAATAGAAGAGGGAGGTCTAGTTTAGCATATAATAATTTTTTGAATAATCAGGTATACAAACACGCACACATACATTCATATATATATATAAGATTAAATTTTTTTGATTTAAAACCCTTTTTATTTCTTAAAAACTTATTATTTCCAATTATTAATAATTTTTACATTTTGGGTATATCACACCATTGCAATTTGTAATAATTAGTGTTTATTTTTGCTTTTCTGCATTTTCATTATAAAAAACTTCTATGGCTATAGAAAATATTATCTTAATTTTATAATTTTATATTTTTCATAGGTAAATCCAGCGAGGCATAATGTAAGGAGACTTTTAAGAGCAGCACCACGACAAATTACTTCAGTATTGCAAGCAGACCTACTTTGGAAAGCAGGCTTGACTGGTGAAATTATTTAAATATTTATTAAGAAAAATTATAGTAACTACTATTTTTAACATTCAAAATAATAATTAAAATGCTAATAAATCTGAATCATTCTTTTTCAAATATATGAATAACATTTTTCTAATAATTCTTGTTAAAACGTTTAAGAATTATATCTTTGAATAATGCATGATATTTACATTTGGTTTTATCTTGTTTTACTTAATTTTTACACAGAAATACAATGTAATCAGAAAGACATTTTGTGCCTGTATAATGTGGGATGCATATTTATAATATCAATGTAGAAAGGATGAATTAGTTTTATTTATAAGGCATATGATATTAATACATACATGAAAATATGTATTTTGTTTCATAATTAATTAAATACAAAGTGGTTTATGTGAATTGTTCACATATAGAATAACTTGCCAAAGAAAATAACTTTTGAGATAGGAATATAATAATTTAATATTTAATGTTATCATTATTTGCATGCTTTATTTTTTTCTTCAAAATGTAAGTTATAAGTTCAAACATATTATATTAGGAAAAGGCGTGCGAGTGGCAGTGTTTGATACTGGTCTTTCATCATCTCACCCCCATTTGGCTTCAGTTATTCGGGAACGCACGGACTGGACGGATGATCATACGCTTGATGACTCGGTGGGACATGGGACATTTGTTGCTGGAATCATTGCGGGCTCAGGCAATGATTGCGCTGGTTTTGCACAACAGGCGGATCTATACGTTTTCAGAGTATTCACCAATAAACAAGTATTTTTCACTGTTATCTATTTTGTTATCTAATTTTCAATGTTGGATTTATCATATAATATGATTCATTTAATATCTATTCATAATATTAGCAGCTTCAGCCATTCCAGCAACAAACTACTACTACATATAATATATATATATATATATATATATATATATATATATATATATTATATACATATAAGCAAAAATAGAATGCAACAAAAAAATGTACTTGTAGAACAAATATTTTCAGTTGAATTTTCTTACAAATTTTATGACCTTTAACAAATATTTGTTTGCCACATATATTGCAACTAAATGTTTTATATGCCATATTTTTTTCTTTTGGGAAATGGTTTTGGTTTTCCAATTATGCATTGTACATTGTACATTGGCATGTTGATTGAATAACACTTTTGAACTATCTTAATTTAATAAATAATTAAATTTCAAATAAAAAATTTATTACACCCCAAGTGTAAATGGTAAGAATTAATTCATGGAAAAAAATATTTATTTGGATATTGATTTCTATAGCCATTCTGATAAACTTCTGATATTTATCAATAGTAAATTATCGATAATAATAATATGTAGTTGTTATTAAATTTCTAATATTGTTTATTTTGATATTTTTTGATAGGTTTCATATACATCATGGTTTCTAGATGCTTTCAACTATGCAATCTTGAAAAAAATAAATGTTCTGAATCTCAGTATTGGAGGTCCCGATTTTATGGACCATCCATTTGTTGATAAAGTGTGGGAGCTATCTGCAAACAAGGTCGGTTAATTTAATGATAGAAGATATCTTGAAGTACACATGGTATTAATATTATATTATATGAAAGGATGGAAATATGATTTTGAAAATAAATCAACTACCACATTTTATTGCATTATATGACGCAAATCGGCTCCAACTTAAAATTTTAATAAATTACATCGTTATTTTAAAGATATATACAATAAATAAAATTGTGAAAGAGATGACATTATATGAAAAATGACAATATAATCAAAATAAAAGTAATAAAAATAAATGAGTGGATATATAACGAAATATTAGAATTATTTATATATATATATATATTTGAATAAGTTTTTTAAGGGTGATATATCAAACAAAGGAAAAAGCATATATATATATATATATATATATATATACATTAATTTTACCTTATATTAATTTTACAAATGTTTCGAGACTAGGTTTGTCTCATCATCGGTAAGCAGAACAAGTTGGAATAGTTAACACATAGTGCTACATTCATATTTTGGATTTTAAATTATAATACACTGATAATGAGACAAACCTAGCCTTGACATGTTTGTAAAATTAATATTATTTAATAAATTAGTGCAAAAAAGAGTGTTAATTGCTCTTATGTTTAAATTATTATATATATATATATATATATATATATATAAGCAGTAATTATAGAAAATTATTAATTTCTTTAATTATCATATTTTTAATGTCAGGTAATAATGGTAAGCGCCATAGGAAATGATGGTCCCTTATATGGAACACTTAATAACCCAGCAGATCAAATGGACGTTATAGGTAATATTTTCTGTAAATTGTTAATGATATTCATTATTGCATGTTAAACTTTTATTTCTATTTAAGGTGTAGGAGGGATAAATTTTGAGGATCAAGTGGCCAAATTTTCATCACGTGGTATGACAACTTGGGAGCTACCACAGGGTTATGGCAGAATGAAACCAGACATTGTTACGTATGGCACTGGTGTCAGAGGTTCCAGCATCAAAGGTAATTTGTTTGCTTTTTGTATTATATACTAAGATTATAATAATCAATTATTAGTGATTGGCATCAATGTTTATGAATTTTCAATCACTAAAACGTTATTAGGGCTTCAATTATTAATATGACAGTTATAAGATTCTCAGTAGTTTTTAGTTTATGAGAAACTTTTTAAAATCCTGAAGTAAATTGGCATGAATGATTTATTAATACAATCATAAAAGTTCTTATTGAATTAAAAAATATACATCATTAATAAACAATAGTCAAATTCTTAATAACTAATAGTCAAATTATTCATAACTCTAATGCAACCTATCTTAATTAAAGGTGGATGTAGATCACTGTCTGGTACAAGTGTTGCTTCACCAGTCGTAGCTGGCGCTGTAACATTGCTTGCAAGTGGTTTTCTTAAAGATAATAGGTATTTTAATTATTATTAAATAAGTTATAATTTAGATTTCATTATGCTGGCGCCAGCTTATTATTCTGAAATTAACTATAAATTCATGTAAAACGATTAAAATTTTTATAATAATAATTTACAGTCTTCTGCGAGAAGATGAATGTATAAGCGACTTTTCCACTATGCTGATATAAAGTTTTTTTATATTTCATTCCATTGTTCTGTGTTTTGCAATATGTGGTTGTTATTTTTATTGGTTGCTTTCCCCAAGAACAATCATTTCATCAATACAAGCAAAATGTTTTTTGAATCATTCAAATCGGATGCTTCTTTCTCTCAAAAACTGCCATTGCCGTACCGTATCTCTGAAACGGCTGGACCTGTCTTTGCCCAAAACTAGTTATCACTTCTCATCATCATTACGATTCGAAGTTTTTCGAATCATTCAAATCGGATGCTTTCTCATAAACTTAATTTCCATTTTCTGCTTTCTTTGCTTCATATCTCCCTAACTGCTGGACCGACTTTTGCTAAAAACTAATCAGCACGTCTCCTTATCAATAATAGGAATGGAATGTTTATTGAATTATTCAAATTGGTTGTTCCGTGCTCCTGAAAACGGGGACGAAAAATTGCGACACATCTATTTTTTGTAAGGTATGCCAAAATTTTTAGAAACTTCTGAAACGTAAAGATATGCAAACATTTTCATTTTCGATTTTTCAATGATTATAGTAACTTACCTTACATAAAGTTAAAAATGAGTATTTAATATAAATAACCTACATTAACAATTAACTGTGTAGCAGGTGTTATAACATGGGCATCATGTGTTCTATTTATTTTTTGTGGTATTTGTTCTCTAATTAATCCTTCTCTATTTAATTGAAGCAGTATATAAAAAACTACTTTCCTGTGTTTATTCATATCATAGATCACTGAAAATAAGTAGCACAATTATTATATTTTCAGAGATATAATAAATCCAGCAACTATGAAGCAAGCATTGGTTTTATCTGCAAAAAGATTACGACATGGGAATATGTTTGAGCAGGGGCACGGCAAGTTAAATTTAGTGAAAGCTTATCAATTTCTTAAGAACTATGTACCTCGAGCAACTCTTAGTCCTAGTTACATCGATTTGACCGAATGTCCTTATATGTGGCCCTATTGCACTCAACCGCTGTATTACGGCGCCATGCCTACTATTGTGAATGTTACCATTTTAAATGGTATGGGCGTTACCGGCCAAGTGGTAAGTGTTTGATTGATTTACTAAAAAAATTTAGCAAAGACATTGCCAACAAGCATCCAACCAAAATTAATATTCACAAGTTCTTAAACTTGTCCGAGTTTTTAAATGCCCTTGCAAACAATATTTTACTAAATTTGTTTTCACAGGTTATTAATAAATGTTTTGATAATATAAAGAAAGATTAAAAATTAAACATAGTCAAAAGTTTAATTCTAGTAGGTGATGAAGTGGGCAGTAGTTCTCCAAATGATCAGAATAAAAAAATATAATATATTACTAATCTAGAATGTCGCTATCGTATAAACTACAGCAAGTAAAAAAAAATAGTTTTTGCAAAACCTTTTTAATATTATCAATTTTTTATTCAAAAATAGTAAATATTTGGATTTTGGGGACTGTAGTTTATACGGAAGTGAAGTCTATAATTCTTTCTTTAATAGACTCTTGTCTGTAAAAATATCATTTAACTTGGTTCATTAGAATTTGAGAAATCGTGGGTATCGTATCGCGGAAGCCGGTTTCGAGAAAAGCGCATTTAAAGAGGAAGGAAACAGATGAGGATTATTATTGCCCAACATCTATATCTAATCTATAAATAAGATTGTATATAGAAAGTTGAAATGAAAAAAATAAGATGTTCTCGAACATTCATTTAAATTGAAGTTATTGTTATTTATTTAAATTATACCAGTACTATACCAAATTTCTTTCAAATAAATTGTTTTTTCCCCTTGTTAAAGATGGCAAAAAGTTATTCTTCATGTTTTATTATATTTGTTTCAATATTTCTTTTTCTACTTATCATAATATGTTCTTCTACATAATTATTTAGGTGGAAGGACCAACATGGCATCCATACACCTCTCAAAATGGTCTCATATTGAATATTTCTCTCACTCATTCCAATGTGCTTTGGCCATGGTCAGGATGGTTGTCTGTCACATTTTCCGTATCTCCTGAAGGAATTGATTTTTCGGGACATTGTCGAGGACATATAAGCCTGACTATTCAAAGTCCACCAGGAATTGGTGAAAAATATCCTAGAAATAGCACCATTACGCTTCCAGTTACGTAAGTCTTTTCATTTATATTATTAAGTTTTAGTTGAATACATGAAGCAAATTTATTTTGGAAATTAATAATTATCTATTTTATTAGTTTTATACCTCGACTAGAAATTGATCGATTTTAAGCAATAAATAAATTTTGGTATGATTAGAAAAAAGCTTGAATATTTGCTATCTTTCACACTACAGCTTTTTCAAGACAAAACCTAAATTTAATAAATCATTTTAAGCTTTCCTAAATATTAATAGATTTTACTAAACGCTATTTCATTAAATATAATGTGCAGCGGTTATGGCAGCAGATTAACTTTGCAGAGTATAATCTAGGAAGATTAAAACCGTCTAGATAATATCTTCTAATAAATATGTAGTGACTATTTTTTTTTGAAATTATGTACATAGTTCTTAATTATTTGGAGTAGAACATAGGATTAATTTTACAATAATTTTGCTTGTTTTATATATTTTGCAAGTTTGAGCAACTTTTGTGCATATCATCTTGATATTGTTATACACACTACATTATTTTGTACATAATTATTTGTTATCCTTAAAACACAGTGCAAATGTTATACCTACGCCCCCAAGACACAAGAGATTGTTATGGGATCAGTTTCATAGCTTGCGTTATCCCCCTGGTTTATTTTCCTAAAGACAATTTGAAGGTAATTAATTAATGATGCATTCTTTCTTTTATTGCGCTTTTATAATTTTATTTTATCCATTATTTCAGATAAAAACTGATCCATTAGATTGGAATGGTGATCATATTCATACAAATTTTAAAGAAATGTATCAAAGTTTGAGAAATAAGGGTTACTATGTTGAAGTTTTAGGTAAGAACTTGAAGCAGTTGATAGATTAAAACAATTTGAGATGGTTTGCTGTTGTTTATTTATGGAGAAACATAGATACAATATTTATATTCTACTGTATATCCCTCTTCGCTGCCAATGATAGAATAGGCTTTTTGCTTAGGCCTTCTCTTTTTTATATAGGACGGAAGCGGCCATCTTGATGAGTGCGCATCCCCAAATGCTACAGGGCTGTACTTGGGTGTCGCCGCAAACTTAAAGAAATGTTTTTATTACCATTAACTTATTAAAACAAAAATTTTAGAACAATCTTTTAATCTTGTAAAGATTATTCAGAAAAAAATATTTGATACTATACTATATTTATTAATAGAACATTAAGTAATTAAAATACTCTGTCTACGCGCAGCAATCAGAAATTAAAACGTTATAATTAGACCGGGATTGGAATAAAAATACATAATTGACCATTTTTATGCGATTTTTATTTTATGTACTATTGACTTTACGAATTTGACGATTCATTACTTACAAAGCAATAATAGATTAATACTAAGATTAAGATGCTTAATTCATGTGATAATTATATTATGATCTTATTATTGTTATATGCATTCAAAGAGCAAACATTGTAGGGGAGCCCTTCACGTGTTTTAATGCTTCAAATTACGGAACAATGCTGTTAGTTGATCCAGAGGAAGAATTTTTTCCAGAAGAATTAGAAAAACTTAGGAAGGATGTTGAAAATGGTTTATCTCTCGTCATTTTTGCTGATTGGTATAATGTTTCAGTAATGAGAAAAGTTCAGTTTTATGATGAAAATACAAGACAATGGTAAGATTATATTTTCATAAGATATAAATAATATAAAATAATATTGATACATAAACGTCACAGGCCATTATTTTGATTTTTCTAGGTGGACTCCAGATACTGGTGGAGCCAACATTCCCGCATTAAATAATCTCTTAAGTAACTGGAATGTGACATTGGGAGACACAGTGTATCATGGCTACTTTAAATTAGGTGATCATAATATGTATTATGCGAGTGGTACTAGTATTATTAATTTTCCATTGGATTCAGGAGTAGTTGTAACAAGTTCTTTGATAGATCAAGGTCAAGCGGTAAGTAGACTATTTGTATTTAAAAATTATATGTTTACTTGATTTGGAAAAATAAAATAAATGATTTATAACTTGAAAAATTACACCGTTTTTCACTAGAAAAAGCAAGTCGGAGTAACTTTTTTTACATATCAATTGTAAATATAAGGTTTATAAAACTTCATCTGTGTATAAAATAATATAATGCAATTACCTGAGGTCAGGTTACAATTCCCTAACAATCGGTATAATTCTAAATTCTAAATTAATTAATCCCATAGGGTAAGTTATAGTAATCGCAAAAAAATCGAAAATGAAAATTTTTATATATCTTAACGTTTCGAAGGTTTCTGAATATTTTGGCATACCTTAAAAAAAAAGGATGTATTTGAGACTGTGTATGTGTGTGCGGATACAAATTTTTGTCGACGATTTCGGGAACACCGATCAACCGATTTGAATAATTTAAAAATCATTCGATTCGTATTGATAAGGAGACGTGCTGATTAGTTTTTAGCGAAGGCAGGTCTAGCCGTTTCGAAGATACGGGGAAAAAAGTGCCAAAAACGGTAGCTCAGTTCTTAAGAGAACGGAGCGTCCGATTTTAATAATACAAAAAACATTTTGCTTGTATTGACAAAATGAAGAACTGATTAAATTTTTGGGAAGGCAGGTCCAGCGGTTATGATCTCTCACACGTGTATGTATGTGAGAGTGTGTGTGTGGATGCAAATTTTTGTCGATGATTTCGGGAACACCGATCAACCGATTTGAATAATTTAAAAAACATTCGATTCGTATTGATATGCAGACGTGCTAATTAGTTTTTAGCGAAGGCAGGTCTAGCCTTTTCGAAGATACGGGGCAAAAAGTGCCAAAAACGGTAGCTCAGTTCTTAAGATAACGGAGCGTCCGATTTTCATAATTCAAAAAACATTTTGCTTGTATTGACAAAATGAAGAATTGATTAAATTTTTGGGAACGCAGGCCCAGCGGTTATGAACTCTCAATACAAATAGGTTGAAAAATGTCATTTGGCGGTCAAAAATGTTTATTGGACATATGTACATCAAACTATCAGATATTTTATAGAGATTTTAATAATGTGTACATATTTTGTGTAAATTTTTTTGGGTTCCGCACCTAGATTTTGAATTACGGTACGGGAAGTTCCAGCAATTTGCTTTAAGGCACGATGCCATCACCGTACTAGTTTAATTATTTCAATAACTGCTGCTTATTACGGAATCTCACTTCACTCATCTGGATTTTTTTTACGACATTACACATACCTGATTGTTTCTAGCCAGAAAGATGTAAGCCGAATCAAGCCCAACCCAAATCCTCTGACTTCTGGTTTGATAAAAATAAAAAAATATCACCATATAAAACGATACATTTATAAAAATGCTAGAATGCATTTAGGATCATAAAATCCAAACATATTCCAAAATTGAAATGTAACACCATAGCATATTTAAAACAATAAAACAAACAGACACAAAAATTTCACACTCAAACACCAAAAAGGAACAAGTGATTTTCCTCAGAAGCTCAAGCCATCAATGCAACATGCTACTGAATGGAATAAATTCAATCACTCTTAAACTAAATTCAAAATTAAATTAAAAGAACACATAGATGAACTAAATTAATTTTATTTGCTTGCTAGAAAAAAAAGTGTTATTATTATTAATTTTATATCTGTATATATTTGTTTGTAGACACATGTTGTGAAATATATTAGGGTTTCAACTATTATGAACTATTTATCAAAAATATTTACTGTTATCTCTTACATCAGACAATATGTCTGACTGAGATACAGTATGTAAGAGCTTTTATTTTAATAAATTTCTAACATTTGTTATTGATGTACAAGTTTTTAGGTTCACATAAAATTGTCATTATTTTGTTTTTATCATTTCAGGTATTGTTATCTGAGAAGTTTATCAAAGATGAGACTAAAGATGTTGCTGTCATACTAGGTTTAATGCAGACACAAGTGTTAAATAGGACCGACTCGAAAACTAACAGTGATATCATCCCAGGAAGACTTGTAGTCTACGGAGATTCAAGTTGTCTTGATACAAGTCACATTGAAATTCCTTGCTTTTGGCTGTTAGATGCCATACTTGAATACACAACTTCTGGTTACCTGCCGAATATCTTTCTAAACAACATTCCTGATCAAACACAAGATTTATTTGATATTTGTAAGTGAAGAGTATAAAACTTGTTCACTTATTTAAGGAATTTATTTTTGTTTTATTACAGTATCAATAAGTTACTCTAAATGGAAATAATAATTCATATATGATATTTTATTTGGGAATTATAAGAATCATTTCTTAATACATTCAAGATACTGATAAGTTTGATTAGTAAATATTTCCATAAAGCCATTTGTCTTTATCACTTGGCTGACAATCTTTTACCGTTCCAATTTTTTTTTCATGGTTCTCATGACATTGTTTTACATTCTATTTACAGCTTTTGAAAAGCCAACACGCCTGGAAACATCACGAATGAAGACCTTCAGCAAAGTTTTAAAAAACTCTATCTCTTCTGATGATAATTCTGAAGCTTACTCACCATTACCCACGTGCGCTAGTAGAGTATGGAATTTTGCAAAACCATTAGATTCCGATCCTGGAGCCGAATCTCATAAAATACAAAATTTACTAGAGACGACAATGGTGCATATGGAACAGGCTAAAGGTGACATGTGAGTTTTATTGTAGCACATTAAAATACGCCGTAATGTTGTCACCAGTATTTTATTTTAAACCGTAAAAATACTGTTAGAGTTAAATAATTTATGGGTCTATAATTATGACGAAAGTGATTTAATAATGCAATAAAAAATGAAGATATCATAGATTTCTTACTAAAGGTACAACTTTAAAATTTGTGACACTTCATATCTTGATATATATCTGTAAATTAGTTTGTCATATATGAACGCAATCTTATTAATATTACAATGTATTTTATTTTATTTCAGCAGAAGAAGAATATTTTGATGAAATGGAAGATGGTAATTTTTGGACTTGGCGTGGATCTAGAGTTGCTTCCAGCAAACAAGAGGGCATTATATATATTAAACCATTTATTTTGATAGTTTTGCTATTGGCCCTATTGATAATGTGCAAAGTTCGACCTGTTCGTCAATTTTTTTTGAACAGATATCAATTTATTGCCAACATTTGCAAATATATGTTGGATAAGAAATAATAAATAGATTATTTAATATATAGATACAGAAAGAGCATTTATTAAAATTTAATTAAATTACGTTTTATAAATGTATTTAACTGAACAAAATATTTTTTAATGAGAATGATATTGAGATTTTATAAATATTAGATTTAATATTTTGTTATAAATAAAGTGAAACGTTAAACTTATTGTTTTTTTACTACTACCCTCAAGCAGGTCTGTGAGCTGGGTTAAAGTTCAACTTGAATCAGGGAAGAATAGTGTGAAAAATTTTCCTTTGCCATTTCACGCAGCAGTGCACGAAATGGGGTATTATCAATTGGAAACATATTTTTGATCTATATTTTGAAGTAAAAATGGACAAATGGACAATACTATCTATTATACATATATAAGCATTAGATTTTTTTGTTCGATGGAGGAATGATAGAAGATTAAAGGTACACATACAAATGGAACACAATCCACAAAAATCAATAAAATGATAAGAAAAGATGAAAAATATTAGTACCACAAAACAGAAATAATTTAGTAATTATATGGGGTTAATATAATAATGATGCTGTGTATAATAATGATAAACAATTTAACATGAACAAATGTGAATTGTACATTCATATAGTACAATTAATGGTAATCATGGTCTGTGATAATTTAAAATATTGACTTCTGAACAAAAAAGTGTAGAAAGTAATGTATTAATTGCATAGACCTTATAATAATGTATAAGGTCTATGATAAATGTCAAAAGATTGCAATACATGACCTGTAAATATGCTAAATGCTAAAATACTTTCTGATCTTTGAATATCGCGCAATTTTTCGTAGCAAATTTATGTTGGCATTGCAACATAAGTGACATTTTAAATTGAACAGTATTTTACGTTTTGCACTTAAGGTTAAAAAATTGTTTGTGTTCTATTTCGTATATTATTTTTCTTTTAGTCTGGTGAAAGGTGATAAATACTTTGATATGTCAGACACTGCAGATGAAGAAGACAGTCGAGAAACTTGTAAATACGGGTCATTATGTTATCAGAAGAATCCTAAGCACCATGAAAAATTTAAGCATCCCTATAAAATTGCTAAAGTAAGAGGTTCTCTCGAGAATGATGATCTGCCAAAAAATAAGAAAGGTAAATATGAAAATAATGCTGAAATTAAAGATAGTACTTCGAGTTTAAACAATGTAAAAGCTCCTGAAACTGAAATTTACAAAGATGTTATAAGAGATAAATTTTTAATCAATATGCCAATCGACTTTTTTGATTTTTGGAACTTCTGTAAAGATTTAAATGCCAGTAATCCATTAAATGCATTACAAGATATTGATTTAGTCTTGGTAGGTCCATATGATGTACTTTTCGGAAAATTCGAGAATGTAAATTTAACAAATGAGGATTACTTAAAACATTGGCGATATTTCTATGATCCTCCAGAATTAGTGACTGTTCTTGCTGATGAAAAAACAGGTTATCATATAGGATATTTCCGAGATGAGCCTTACTCTAATGAGCACATAGTTGCATCAAATAATGGAAAAGATTGTATACTGACTTCTTTAGGTGATAATATATACACTGCAATCAAATCATATATTGAAGAAAAACTCAAAAAATGTAATCCATTTAGTAAGCCCAAAATACAAAAATTTCAAAAAACATTTTTATCTAAATATGAAAGTGAAGCAAATTCTCAAAATAATACAAAAAAACGTCAAAAGAAAATAGTATGTAAAACACTCCATAAATTAGGGTTGGTAGTGCCATTTGATAGAAAGACTGAAGTAGGTTATCGTGAACTTATAGAAAATGATGCAACACTTCATAAAAAATTGAAAGTTTTTTTAGAATCTGATTCACAAAAGGTTATAGATTCTGCCATGGCATCTATACAGCCCATCATTACTGCGGTTAATTTAGCCACTGATGAATGCGACTTTGGAACTGCTATTGAGTTTGGATTAGATCTTTTTTGCATTGGTTCAAAGCATCTACATAATTTGGCTTTATCATTCTTAAGAACAGGATATGATCTGGTTAATAGGAAAGAATTTATTACAATAATTGAAGCTCATGTAAAAGATCGGAGAATTGGAAATAATATGAGTATTTTATAATACATTATATTATGCTTGTTAAAATTTATTGATTAAATGTAAAATCATAAGTTGCATTCTTTGTATTATTTGCAGTTAAATCCAATAAATTTTTGTTTAATCATTTCTGCATTCTTTGGAATAATATATATATATGCTATCTGATCTGCTTTATATTGAATATGTTATAATTGATACAACATTATAAAGCGCCTTATAGTAATTGAATAAAAATAAGTAATAAAATAAAATAGCAATATTTGCATACATAATATTTATTTTTTACATGTTTACACTTTTGACATTTTTTACGCAAATTGATGCTTTAAATTGGCGCTCAATGGTTAATTGAGTAAAAGTGAATAATCGTAATTATTTGTATCAGTACATGGGAATGTTTTTCAACAATCTCCTCTGTTTATGTACTATTTCGCCAACAAGTTACTGTAGTAATCCTTCAGTTCATTCACTATATGTTCTCCTTTTTTACCCAAATTTACGAAAATTCTGGTTGTCGTTCGCTTCTTGATGATCAAATTAAACTGATTTTTTATAAGTTAAATATATATTTTTATCTAGCACAACTTATAGTTTATTGTGTACCATTTTACATAAATGTGTCAAGTTGTGATTACAAAAAATATAATTATAAAATTCTACTATAAAAAATTATATCAATATTTGATAAAAAATTATCGATTTAATCACATTTTGCATATCTATAAAAACAGCTTATAGAAAATAATTTATTAGCTCTTTCAGTTCATATATAACGTTATGGAATACTATTTTATTAATTAAAAATATTTCAAAATTACTATAGTATTTATTTAAAATTCATATATAAAGATTTTTAGCCCCTTAGTAGCACTGGAGATGGATAAAATTTATGCTCTCTTCTTACGTAATTTGGAGGTTTATTATAGAAATAATACCGTCCTGGTTGATTATACACTGGAGCTGGTTGATTGTATATTTGTCTCTTCTCCCGCATAGCATTTTTTGTAAAATCATGTTCATAAATTTCTTCGTCTGCGTGTGTTAGCGTAAAAAATTGCATTAGTGACACAGCCAAAATTAGTGCCAATAATATACTAGCGATCTGAAAAATATATAGAAAAAAAGTTGATTAAAATATTTATTTTCTGAAGATTTTTAATAGATATCCAGATTTGGTGTATTCACCGAAATAATAAATGCTATATCAATAGAATTTTTAATATATCAGGAATGAAAATTAAACTATTATTTTGAGAAGATTCTCAACTATTCTTTGATAAGCATATTTTGATCTGCTTTTAATCTGCACATGTTTACTATAAAAATGTTTCTAAATACCTAAAGCCCCTCACTTTTTTTACTATTACGCAATAAAATAGATTTTTTATTTTAATAAACCCATAAGGGGGCGTCCGTTACGTGATCGACTATTTAAGGATTTTTGGAACCCCCCTCCCCCTTGGTGATACGTAGTGATATTCAAAATACTTTTTATCGATTTATTATTTCTTTAATGATAACTATATGAAATATCATATTAACATTGTAAAAAAAACTACACCATTTCCTTTTTTATCGTTATATTACAAAATCAATATAATTACCTTTCTTATATATATGTAGTTATAAACATGTAGGTCGATCTGAGTTTTAGAATATTTTCTAGAACTTAGATTATATTATACTATTATAAATAATATAATTTGAACAAGATTAAACTATAGGTAATATAATATTTATAAATGTGGAATTTAGAACCAAATAAATAGTGTTATAAATGAAATAAGATATTAAACATCAGTCATGTAAAACCATAAGTGAAATAAAACCCAAACATCTTGAAATTTATATAGGTAATATAATATTTATAAATGTGGAATTTGGAACCAAATAAATAATGTTACAAATGGAATAAGATATTAAACATCAGTCATGTAAAACCATAAGTGAAGTAAAACCCAAACATCTTGAAATTTATCAGTCTATACTATTCAAACGAAAACGGCAAGTGGATAAACTGATGTAAACAAGTATATAACTATAATAAACTAAAGATTATAGTAAAAACTAATATTGACCTACGGTTGTACAAATATTGTTATTGCTTTGATTGGCATTCGGCCTTACAGTCATTTATAATTATTAAAATAAATATAAATCCGTACACAAACGTGGTGTTTGTAGCGTTTTACCTTGAGGCAAATTGACTGAAGTTTTCTATATGAAAAATAATTGAATTGATTTGGTAGTAATTTGTTTGTGAATTTACAATATTGATAAAAATTATTTTCATTTGTCAATTACGAAAAATTCCGTTGAGCAATTTTCTTTTACAACTAGCTGCTAGTGCTAACAGATCAGTCGCAGATTTCTAAATTTTCATGGCAACAAAATTATTATCTGTTAATTGAGAGGAAACTTTTTAAATATTTAAACAGATTTAGATATTTTGGTAACGGCCAAGTGACTTTTTGAAAAAATAATATTAATCAAAGAAGAAATTTCTTCTTCTATTAATAGCTCTACTTATTTAAGCAAAAGGCTGCAAAATATATACTATGCCAATATTTTTCGAAATAATTTTTAAAATTTATATGTGATATGTATAATTTAAAATATATATTTATATATATATTTATTTATTACGGCGGGTCAATAAGGTCACTTATGCACGTATGATTTTCGGATTCTAGGTATCAAAATAAGATACTTTCTCAAGAAAGCATATCTCTAAAATGAATTCTGATGTCCCGTGCATTGCCCCAAAGTTAAGGTTGGGCGGGCCGGCTTTCCAAAGTTAGTGGGGGTCGGACATACATTTGGACGCGATTGGGGCACACTGAATGGGTCAAAATGAAAATTTTCAAATTTTTACCCTTATTTTTAGGTCAATGGACGGGACATCAGAATTCATTTTAGAGGTTTGGTTTCTTCAGCAAAGTATTTTATTTTGATACCTAGTATCCGAAAATCATATATGTCTGGCGACTTTTTTTGACTCATACTAATCGACCGCTATATAGATATATATACATATATCATCAAATGATAAATACGAAGAAATGATTCCACCTTTAAAGGTGGAATCATTTCTTCGTATTTATCATTTGATGATATATGTATATATATCTATATAGCGGTATTATATATTTTAATTGCATTCGTACTGGATTTTTTGTGACGCCTCTAGTGCATGCATCTCTATCAAATGTTTTGTATAATATCGCTGAAAAATATTCTGTTATTAGATTCACTAAGAGTTTCTAGAAATGATTTAATTCTTGTTTAAAAATATTTCTCTATAGTATTTAATACTAATATGCCCGCAAATAGCACCTTTATTTAAAAAAAGAACACTTTCTTTACTTTGGTGTATTTTTTTCTATATAATATTTGATTTTATGGCATTTTTTATTTTTAAAGGAACTAGAGGCGTCACAAAAAATCCAGTACGAATGCAATTAAAATATATAAAGTGATATTTAGCCACCTCGTGAAAAAAAACAACCCCAGATTCATCACAAAGAAAAAATTACACTACCTTATTTTTCAATTTATATTATAACATGATAAACTGCATAGTTAAAGCGTCGAATTTATTTAACGTTTAATCATCAGTTATTAAAAATCTTTACCGGTATAATAAAAATTTAAATCTGTGTCTAAGTATTATTGTCTCATAATTACTCATACCAGACAACCCTGTCTGACTGAGTTATGAAAATAATATATCAATAAAAAAACAGTTATTTGTAATTAAACTAGTACTGTTGTAGTTCATTAATATGAACTGTTTCTGAGATTTTTATGACAACTACATAGCACTTACATTTTGTTTTGCCATATTGATAATAATTCTTCCGGTTATATTCCGATATATTCACATTCACAATTCGCACGCTAATGATAAGATTTGTGTTTATGAATCAATTGAATAGATGACTGGTTGTTTATTAAAGTTATATATATATATATATATATATATATATATATATACATTTATTATGTGCAATTATTCTTTGTTTGAGCGAGTAATATAAAATCCTTTTAGCATTTCTTAGTCAAACTATTTATAGTACTTCTCTTGAAAATTGTGAAACTATTATAGATATTTTCAAGTAAACAATTACTAGTACATGATATTTGTATGTATATATACATATATACAAATGTAAAATTTCCAAACCCATCTAATTAAGCTCCATGCATGAATACTGGCGTCGATTAGTTTTGTTTATTGTTTTCGTTGTTAAAAAAATCAACAACGTGGTCGACAATAATCAATCTTTGTGATTACTGTTTTCTCTAAAGTTTTGCAATTATTTATTTATTTAATTCAAGTTTGAACCACTTCAGTAATAAATATAGCCTCGGTATATAGTTTCAGCTTTGGGTATTTTCTTCAGTGGCGTATGATTTTATCATTGTCCGGAATTGTCAATTTTTTTATATGGACGTACTGCCAAAAATATCAAAACAGTGATTTAATTTAAAATATAATTGAAACTGGTATGACTGACTTAATTGAGTACAATGAACTTATGCCTAAATTATATTTTTCCCATATTTATAAATATATGCATTAATAAATTTAATTTTATTTTTATTAGTTTATATATATAAAGTTGTAAAAATGTTGAAATAATAAAATCATAAAAATATGTTTGTCGATTTCTAAATCTATACTAAAGAAAAACTTATATTCCAATATTGGCATGTAATATATATTATAAAAATAATAAAATGCTAATACATATTTCTATTTGTACTTCTATAAACAATTATTTAGGGTCAAATCTGAATGAATAAGCATTAAACACTATTCATTATAGCTAAAATAAATCATACATCATATCAATAATAAAATAATCAAATTTAGTTCCAATATATATCCCATTTCAGAATGTTTTTCTCAATAATATTATTGTGTACGGCGCATTTTATTGTAGGGATATCTAGTACCATCATTTTGTTTATAATCTCTATCTGAATCTGATGGTCTTTTGTTTGGTCTTCGATTGTTCTGGTAATTATTGCCTCTATCCTGATTATATCCATAATTTCTTGGATTTGTGTAACCTGAATTATATTGATTACCATAGTTTTGATGATGGCTTCCGGAAGAACTTCCAGCATAGGAATTATAATGCCCCCTTCCAGATTGGTTGTAATTGTTTCCTGAATGATTATTTATATAACCTCTATTGCCACCTGCATGAGGATTGGAATAGTTTGGTTGATCTCTAGGTGCATGATGATTTATCATTCTATGACCAGCTTGTCCTAGATATGCACGTGTTTGTGAGGGTGCCATACCAATTTGGGGCCTCCAATTCCTGCTTTCAGCTGCTGAGAGATCAGATGGTTTAAGCACGCGAGGAGGATCGATTGCCCCTTCCAATCTTCGTGCAGGAAAGATGTACCCTTCTTCATAAGTTGGATCTCTATATCTAACAACATAAAGAGTGTTATCAGTTAATGGTTTTAGACCCTGAACGGGTGAAGGCAAAATGCCACCTTCTGAGACACAATCTTCAGCCAAAAGCACTTTTCCACTCATCCCTTGCATCACAATATTGTATTCAGAATCAGAATCTAACTTATTATGATAAAGACCTCGTATAAAACCATAATCAGAATTGTCTTTATTAATGTATAACCGATCATCACCACGTACATTTCTCTTTATTTCTGCCTGTGATAACTTTGAATAATATGGTTTGAGGGCTTCAAATAGCCGCTCTTCGTCCACAAATGGTAGCAATGCAACACCTTGCCAAGCAAACTTTTTGCCATTTAAATCAATTTTGAAGTCGACTGGATAAAAATCAATAATCGGTGAATAGGGATCACTCATTAAAATAGCCCATGGCTCTGGTACATGAATACTTGAAGCAGCTGGAAACACACTCATTAGCTGTTCTAATGGCTTAAAAGGTTTTGTGCCAGTTTCGAATTCAGTTGACAGACCATCTATGTTAATGAAATCAGATGCAAAAGGCGCATAGTGATAAGGAAAATACCATTTCCAAGAAGCACAACCTTGGTAATAATACCTCAGTACCCAACATAATCCTCGTACATACTGAAGTGCAACATTGTTTCGAAACTCTAAATCATCAGGACCCACATCAAACTTTGATTCATAATATCTGTCCTTAAATCCATCCTCCCACAATCTGACTTCATCATTCGGTTCTGATTCATCATCATCTTCCTTATCTTTACTTTGCTGAGGTTGCTTGCCATCCAGATGTATCATACTTTCAAGAGGCGCATTTGTTGTAGAAGATTTATTTTGAGAAAGCATTCCAGCCACTCTCATATCATAAGCCACTTTCCGAGCATTATGAACTGTATGACCAGAATCCTTACCTACAGCCATTGGCTGCATAGGAGTATTATTTAACAAGTTAAAATTCGGTCTATTATGATTAAATTGATTTCTTTCACGTTGCTTACGGGCTTTGTCGCGAGCCTTGAAATTCAGCTCAGTTTGTTGTCTTTTCTTGAAGATTTCATCTTCAGCCAATCCTAAATCATGTAGAATCATTTGAACCCTACTTAAGTTGACATCTCCTGAATCTGTTATAAAACCTCCAGTTTTATAAACACATTTTTTATAGAGATTTACTAACCTATCTATAGCATTTTCTCTAATTTCTAAACTAGGCAAATGTGGTAGAAAATCATTGCCAACAAAAAAGCACATAAAGACCCAGTCATCAATAGCTCTTTCAAAATCATATTTAAAAGGTAAGTTTGGCATTTCCAATTCTTTCTGTAAATATTCTCTTAAAATATTCAATCTAACAAATATGAACTGTGGTTCTGCAGAAAATTTTGGTTGATCAGAAGATATGTCTTGTACTTCTAGGCCAGTGCAATCTTTCATCTCATGACCTATTTGACCACATATATCACATGGGCGAGCTTGATTTGGTTTAAATTCCTCTCTGATTATGGTGAAGTTTGGTTCATGTGTTGCAAGTCCCAACATTATTAAGTCGGCATCTGCACCACAAAGAACATGACTGGTATTAGGATCATGATCAGGTTGAGCTCTTTGTTTTCGAATAAAATCCATTATTTTATGCTCTCCCTCCCCTGGAGAATTGGCATCTGACAAGATGACTTTAATACCTTTCCACCCTGGATCACTTTGAAATCTTGAATGAATATAGTAATGCAGGCATTTGCTCAGACGATCCATGAATGGAGTGCCAGGTGTGATACAATTTGAATCAAAATGTTCTTCTTTAGGTTTCTCTGGTGGTAAGGCTGCTCCCCTACTTCTCAATTCATCTTTAATACGCTTCATTTCCATCATCTTCTCTGTTGTTTCTTTGGAAGCTCGAAAACGACGGGATCGTTGTTGATTCATTTTAGCCCTAGGTGCTACACCATCAATCGCCATGTATAATAATTTTCTAGGTCTCACTATGCCAAATAACCTATCAATGCATTCAAAAATAGCAACCATCATTTCATCTTCATTTTTTGGTGCTGGTTTATTTTCAGGATGTGTACAAGGATGAATAATCCCATTCATGTCAAGGTATAAATTGTCAAATTCAACACCGTTTGGATTTGGCAACGAACTATTTGCGGGTGTAATTTTGCCCTGGTCATCAACATGCTTTTCTTCAACACATTCTACTATAACGCTAGGATATTTTCGGCTTAGCCAACGAAAGAATGCTGGTACACCCATTGTTATATAAAAATGTAAACTTCCTTTAAAAAATATTACGTGGAAGTCCTACTATTTATTCAGTTTTATATCATATATGCTAAAAAAATTAAATATTGGTTATAATTAGTTAATCATTATTTTATACAATTATATCAACTTACTACTACAATACTCACTACATATTAGTTATGTAACTTTGTGTAAATAGTTCTTGATCTCTGTTTACCAATTTTTTTATATATTTGGGTTATTTTAAAACATTATTAAAATAAAATGCTAGCGTCTTCAAATGAAGATCAAGTGTTGACAGTTGACAGTGAAAGGCAATATGCCATAGATAAGAATTCTGGTTGATATCATCGTTACCAACACTCGCGGTGTAATGCCCTTGAATGACCTAGTCCTATCGGCTGTTGGCCGAAATGTTTCAAAGTTTCAAATAACTAATGATTTATGTTATTAATTAGCAAAAATTGTAACTTGTATTATTTTTTGTTTTATAGAAAATTTTGAACTTGAACTCATGAATTTGTTTTAACAAGAACTTAACAAAAATATTTGAAAATTTTTAGCATTATAATTATTAAAACGTTGATTGTCACATTCTCTCTATCTCTAGTGCATTATTTTCATCGAAATGAAAAAAAATGTTTACAATCAATAAAATATTATTTTATTTCTAAGAGATAACTTTGTAGTTGGCGTCCTAGAAAAGAACGCAATCTACGTGTTATCTCGTAGTCAACTCGTAGTCGGCAGTCAACGTGTTAAATTTAATTGGTCGCTTTCTAAATTCTAATTTTTTTATTTTTAGATTAAACAAAGTTAAAAGAAATACAGCATATACAGCATATTATTAAAATTAAGAAATTATTATATTATATTATGCTTGCCATGTTGGATGCCATTATTCTTGCTATAACCGATTTCCTCCCATGCAGAAAGAGTGCTTTGAGATTGTGTGAACCAGTGAATCATTCATCTTTGCAAAATCCGATTTAAAAAAAAACAGATAATTGATTAAAAATTGCCTACTTGTCCAACTATTTATCTGCCTATCTGTACATCTGTTTACTTGTCTAATTGTAAGTAACCAGCTTAGGGCTTAACTGCCTATCAGTTTATCAGTGAGTCTACCAGCCTATCTGCCTACATATATTCTTTTGTACTTTTTACCTGATTACCTGTTTACCTTACCTTAATCTAATTTTATTGCTGTTTACTTTTCTTCTTTTCTACCTGCCCACCCATATACCTGTGTCTGTACCTATCTGTCTATACCAATAATTCTATTGCTGGACCTGCCTTCGAAAAGTGATCATTTCATCAACACAGGTAAAAAATTAATATATTCAATATTGTAATATATATATTACAAATTAATTACGTAATATTTTTGTAATTATTTCGTAATATCTGATTACGTAATGTAGATTACATATTTCTTACACTAAAATTACGTAATATTACGTAACTGGTTTAGTGACGTGGGTATATATATATATATAAATATGAAAATAATTTTTGATTCATTCAAATCAGATGCTCGAGTGGAACTGTGTTTGCTAAAAACTAATCTGCACGTCTCGCCATCGACACGAGTCGAATGTTTTTTGAATCAATCTAATCGGATTGCCCGTTTTTGCAAAAACTGAATTTTCATTTTCGGCTTCATCTGCTTTTTCTAATAACTAATTTGCACGTCTCCCCATATATAGGAATCAAATGCTTTTTGAATCATTCAATTTGGTTGATCCGTACGCACGAACTTGTGGACGTTAAATTGTGTTCATACATACCACGCATTCATTTTATCTTTGTAAGCTATGCCAAAATGTTCAGAAACCTTTGAAAAGTAAAATCTATGTCGATTTTTTGCGATTACTACAACTTAAATTGACCCTACCTTTGGAAAGGTAAGAATATTTTCACGTTTTATACGTTTCGACACTTAATGTATGTCATCACTCACAGTAAATGCAATTTTTTAAATATTTTTCATTACTCCTAAAAAAAATTATTGCGTAAATCATTTCCCTAGTTAAGCTCATAATTTTAGTATTTTGGATAATAGAAATCATATGAATCACCTTGGTCATATTTTGTTTCTAACATAAATAAACATAGCTTGACAGTTAATTTCACGTGTAATTTGTAGGTTATGGTCATAAAATAAAAACCATAGATAACAATAACATAAGTACATATAATATAGATGTCATTTTGAAATTTTTAGTGATTTTTTTTATTAAATTTTTTGTCGATATTCCATTCTTGAATGAATGTGGTAAAATAACCAATGAAATCTAAACTATAATGTTAATTAAAAATTTCTTCTTTTATTACAAATTTAAAAAAAAAACAAATTTTGGATAATTATCTTTTTCTTATCCATATATTTTTTTATAGAAATTTTATTATTAGCTTTCAGAAATACGACAAGATTTTAATATGTTTACGCACACATTCATAATTTTGTTATATACTTGAAACTGCATAAGATTATTCTTCATTTTTTAATGCCTTTTACCATTTTATACTTATTTATCTATGCATTTTATAAGTTTTTATTAATTTGAAAATCATTCAGTTTTTATCCTATCTCTATCTCTCTATCTATTTTCGATTTAGTGCTATTATTTTTGATAGTACTACGTGCTGTATCATCCATGCATTCTTGCTTTGACGCTAGATCTGTGGTGTTCAAGATGAGATGTCAATCAATAATAAACATTGTCATTAAAATAAAAAATAACATCAAATAATTAAAGTTATTTGATATTTTAAGCTAAAAAAATGTTTTACAGAACATAAATATTTGTTAACAACTATTCTTTTATCATTATTAAAATGTCGAATGATGCCAATAAATCAAAAGAAACAGATGCAGATGCTGATTGCAGTGTAAATAAAAAAGACCCTAACTCGATTGCATCTGATAATGCAAGGTAAATGTTTATTACTAAGAAGATATGTTTTGATTTTAAATATTAAATGTTATAACATTTTATAGGTTTAAATCTGACACACAAAATGTGAATAACTCTGGTGGATTAAATGAAGATCAAGCATCGATAAGTAGGAATAAACAACCATCAGGTATTTTATGATGATACATATTTGTAGCTATATGTTGTTTAAAGTTAGTAAATTGACTTTTTAATTTGAGATTGAGCGCAGACTCTGTTGTTTAAGAAAACCCAATTATGATTTATAATAACTCTTTAATCTTTTGTTCAAACTTATTTTTAATGGTATTTTGTTGTATTATTTTATTGACTTCGAAGTATAAACTAAGAAGTGAAAAAGTAATTCAACAGATATTTTATAAGTCAGCTAAATGATCAATTTAGATTCTCTCATATTTTGGTAAATCAGAATGCTTTATTATTTGCTTGCATTTATAAAATTAATAGAAATAAAATTAATGAATAGTCATGCATTAAATTATGGTTTTACTTAATAAATAGATATATAATTATTATTTTGAAGGCTCAGGTTCATACTAATTTTTTTCACAATAACTGCATAAAAATATCTAGTTGTATATTGTCAATGAATAACAATACATTTGAGTGTAGATTCTTATTAAAAGTGCTTAGTATGCAATAATTATATATAAATATATATATATTCATATATATATATATATATATATATATATATATATATATATATATATATATATATTGAAATGCTACATCGATACTAATCTACTACACTAAGGTCATGCTCGCTTATTGAAAATTTATTATTTAAATCATTTTATTTTTAATAATTCTAGGTAACGAGTTGTTCAAACTATTAATTCAATTTTAATTGTAAATGACTAAAATATTACTAATGAAAATTTTAAAATACAACATCAGCTTTACACATATTGCTTTGAAAGTTAAACACTTCATCTATTGTCATGTTGTCTAAATCTGTGCGACAAACACTTTAACATTAATAATAATACATATGTGAAAATAATTATACTTTTATCACATTTGAGTGAGGTTACATAAAAAATTAAATAATGGAAGGTAACTAATTCCCAAGTATTGCAAATAAATAGTATCTTCACAAACTTTTTCGTTTTTTTATTTGAAGACAGAATATTATTATTTAAAAATTACTTTAATAATCGAACTTAAATCAATTAGAAATAGTTTTTTAATTAAAAAAAAAGCAAGAGAATTTTTTAATATTAAACATACTGCTTAATGTTTGTAAACTTGATTATTAAGGCTTTGCCGTTTCTTTGTAATTAGCACATAGATGCAAATCCAGTTTGGAATTTTGAAATAAAAACTTCAAAAGATTTCAGTTCGGAAACGTGTTGGTTATTTAGTACAAATTGGCTAGACCGTTTTTCGTAATTGTTCAACATGTACAGTAGTAAATATTTTTCTTTCGTATTTAAAAAGTAGATAAGCAAGTTACATTGAACTTAATAAATGAATCTAAACTGATATTGTGATATTTTGTTTTTAGTAAATGGTTATTTATTCTGATAAATTTTATTGAACTTTTCATTATTATGACTATCTGCTTATACACTCAAATATCTAAAATCTTTATTTTCTTTCCTTTACGCTAACTTTAAAAAAAAAAATCCGTATGCCATTGATGATGCAATATTAATTATTTATTTATATTTTGTAGGTAACGGCAACCAAAGATGTAGTAACGGTCTTGATAAAATATTTAGCGATTCATCTGTATTCAAAACATTTGGAATAGATAATAAACTCAATATTGAGTATTTTCCCCATACTTCAGTCATTAGATCTACTAATGATACGATTTCGAAGTTATCACAAATATCGAATAATAAATTGAATTCGCGGCCAAATAATGAAATAAAATCTGGTGCGTCAGATGTATCACTTGAAAAGTTTAAAGAATCTAAAGATTTTGTATATTATAAAAATGTGTCGTTACCAAATGAGTCAAGACATAATAAAAATGATGCCAACAATACAAAATACTTCAATATGTTTTCAACATCAAACAAAAATGAAGCAATAAAAAGTATAAATTTTAATGCCTATGAACAATTTGGAAACAATAATGCAACGTCTTCCTTCGATGTCACACTAAATTCTTTTAAAAGTAAACCTGCAACCATTAAAGAAGCATGTGATTTTGATCGACGAAGTTCAGCTACTAGTCCCATATCTGATATGAAAGGTTCCAAAATGACACCCAGACCATTAAAAAAAGCTTGGTTGTATCGGCATACGGGTGAGGATGAATTGGAAAATGCTAAGTTTGATGACATGGCTCAAAATGGCATTAATAGCTTTGACAAGACTTTGACAAAAAATTGTACGGACTCTAGTTTAACAACTAATTTGAACTCAAATTTCTACTTTACAAATCTAGGAACTGAGAAGCTAAATGGTATTATCAAAAACAATATTCTACAAAAAAATTGTAATACGTTGATGAAAAATAATGATAAAACATATGCACGTAAATTGTTTGAAGACAGAGCTGCCAAACAAGGAATAAAAAAATATAGTAACATTAGACGAAGCTTCAACGGATCTTTTAAATAAGGCAAAAAATATTGTTATTA